TCGACAGAAAACCCACTGACTGCGACACTTACCTACATGCCTCCAGCTTCCATCCAGGACACACCATATGATCCTTCATCTATAGCCAAGCCCTTAGGTACAACCGCATCTGCTCTAATCCCACTGACAGACCAAAAACTTCAAGATCTCTACTCAGCATTTGTAAAGCTCAATTACCCACCAGGGGGAAATAAAAAAAACAAATTGAAAAAGCCAGACGAATACCCAGAAACCATCTACTTCAAGACAGGCCCAAGAAAACCAACAATAGAACACCACTTGTCATCACCTACAGCCCCCAACTTAAACCCCTCCAACACATTATCAGTAACCTACAACCTATACTGGAACAAGAAACTACGCTCAGAGAGGCTCTGGGGGACAGACCCATAGTCTCCTATAGACAACCACCTAACCTCAGGATGATTCTTACCAACCACCACAGGACACACCACACTAATACCAACCCTGGAACTTTCCCTTTCAACAAGCCCCATCGCCAACTTTGTCACCAGAGTAAATATGCGGACACCATCACTGGACCTAACCAAATCAGTTGTATGATCAAGAACACATATTCCTGTTCATCCAGAAATATAATTTATGCCATCATGTGCCAACAGTGTCCTTCTGCTATGTATATTGGACAAACACTTGTCTCAGACACTTCTCCAAAGAATTAATGCCCACAAATCAGAGGACCGATACCTTCACAAAGATAAACCAGTTTCTTTTCATTTCAACCAACCTGAGCACAGTCTTAACGACCTTACTACATGTATCTTACTTCAAAGAGACTTTAACACCAGACTACAAAGGGAAACCTCAGAACTGTCATTCATGCTTAAATTTGACACTTTACAAATGAGCCTTAACAAAGATGCTAATTACCTTAACCATTACAAAGATAGCTTCCCCAATTATCACCCCTAGTATCTCAGATACTAGCGGTGGTCCTCACCACCCTTCTGTTCCAAATCGGATTTGCCAGTTTTATAATGTGTTCACTTTTCTTCATTATATTCCTTTCGTATATATGGTCATGCCAATTCTCTTCCAGAATTTGATCTGAGGAAGTGGGTCTGGCCCACTCATAAACCTAATAAACCATCTTGTTAGTCTTTAAAGTGCTGCATAGTCCTGTCTTTTGTTTTATCTGCATGTTTTGTTAGTCTTTAAGGTACTGCAAGACTATTGGTTGTTTTTTAAGTTTTTCCAGTTACAGACTAACTCGGCTGCCCCTCGAAGCTTGGGAGAGGGACTAGTTAGAAGACCAGGAGAAGCAGCAATTCGGACGCTTGCTTTGTTCGAGAATACCAAAATAGAGAACTCTATAATAATGGGGGATTTTAATTACCCCCATATTGACTGGATACATGTCACCTTAGGAAGAGAAGCGGAGATAAAATTTCTCAATGGCTTAAATGACTGCATCTTGGAGCAGCTAGTGCAGGAACCCACAAGGGGAGAGGCAATTCTCGATTTAGTCCTGAGTGGAGTGCAGGATCAGGTCCAGGATATAACCGTTACAGGACCGCTTGGGAATAGTGACCATAATATAATAACATTCAACATTCCTGTGGTGGGAAGAACACCTCAGCAGTCCAGCACCCTGGCATTTAATTTCAAAAAGGGGAATTACACAAAAATAAAGAGGTTAGTTAAACAGAAACTAAAAGGCACAATGACTAGAGCCAAATCCCTGCAAGCGGCATGGAAACTTTTTGAAGACACAATAATAAAGGCCCAACTTAAATGCATACCCCGAATTATAAAACTTAGCAAGAGACCTAAAAAAGGGTCACGGTGGCTTAACCACCATGTAAAAGAAGCAGTGAGGGACAAAAAGGTATCTTTTAAGAAGTGGAAGTCCAATCCTAGTGAGATAAATAGAAAGGAACATAAACACTGTCAAATCAAGTGTAAAAATGTAATAAGAAAAACGAAAAAAGATTTTGAGGAACAGCTAGCCAAAAACTCAAAAAGAAATAACAAAATGTTTTTTAAGTACATTAAGAGCAGGAAGCCCGCTAAAAAACCTGTGGGTCCCCTAGATGATCGAGCTATAAAAGGAGCAATCAAGGACGATAAAGCCATTGCGGAGAAACTAAATGATTTCTTTGCTTCAGTCTTCACGGCTGAGGATGTTGGGGAGATTCCTGAATCTGCACCGTCCTTTGTGGGTGATGAATCTGAGGAACTGTCCCGGATTGAAGTGTCATTAGAGGAGGTTTTGGAACAAATAGAAAAAGTTAATGTTAACAAATCTCCGGGACCGGATGGCATTCATCCAAGGGTTCTAAAAGAACTAAAATGGGAAATTGCTGAGCTATTATCTGTGGTTTGTAACCTATCCTTTAAATCGGCTTCCGTACCTAATGACTGGAAGGTAGCCAACGTGACACCAATATTTAAAAAGGGCTCTAGAGGCGATCCTGGCAATTACAGACCGGTAAGTCTAACTTCAGTACCGGGCAAATTAGTCGAAACAATAGTAAAGAATAAAATTGTGAAGCATGTAGAAGAACATAATTTGTTGGACAAAAGTCAACATGGTTTCTGTAAAGGGAAATCCTGTCTTACTAATCTATTAGAGTTCTTTGAAGGGGTTAACAAACATGCGGACAAGGGGGATCCAGTAGATATAGTATACTTGGATTTTCAGAAAGCCTTTGACAAGGTCCCTCACCAAAGGCTCTTGTGTAAATTACATGGCCATGGGATAAGAGGGAAGGTCCTTTCTTGGATTGAGAACTGGTTAAAAGACAGGAAACAAAGGGTAGGAATAAATGGTAAATTTTCAGATTGGAGAGGGGTAACTAGTGGTGTACCCCAAGGGTCAGTCCTGGGACCAATCCTTTTCAACTTATTCATAAATGATCTGGAGAAAGGGGTAAGCAGTGAGGTAGTAAAGTTTGCAGATGATACCAAACTGTTTAGGATAGTCAAGACAGAAGCAGACTGTGAGGGACTCCAAGAAGATCTCACCAAACTGAGTGATTGGGCAACAAAATGGCAAATGAAATTTAATGTGGATAAGTGTAAAGTAATGCACATCGGGAAAAATAACCCCAACTATACGTACAGTATGATGGGGGCTAATTTGGCTACGACAAATCAGGAAAGAGATCTTGGAGTTATCGTGGACAGTTCTCTGAAAACTTCCACACGGTGTGCAGCGGCGGTCAAAAAGGCAAATAGGATGCTAGGAATTATTAGGAAAGGGATAGAAAATAAGACCCAGAATATCTTACTGCCCCTGTATAAAACTATGGTACGCCCACATCTTGAATACTGTGTACAGATGTGGTCTCCTCACCTCAAAAAAGATATTTTGGCCTTGGAAAGGGTTCAGAAAAGGGCAACTAAAATGATTAGGGGTTTGGAACGGGTCCCATATGAGGAGAGGTTAAAGCGACTGGGACTTTTCAGTTTAGAAAAGAGGAGACTGAGGGGGGATATGATAGAGGTCTATAAAAGCATGAGTGGAGTGGAGAGGGCTGATAAAGAAAAGTTATTTATTAGTTCCCATAATAGAGGAACTAGAGGACACCAAATGAAATTAATGGGGAGCAGGTTTAAAACTAATAAAAGGAAGTAGTTCTTCACACAGCGTGTAGTCAACCTGTGGAACTCCTTGCCAGAGGAGGCTGTGAAGGCTAGGACTATAATAGAGTTTAAAGAGAAGCTGGATAAATTCATGGAGGTTAGGTCCATAAAAGGCTATTAGCCAGGGGATAAAATGGTGTCCTTGGCCTCTGTTTGTCAGAGGCTGGAATTTCTGCTGCTGCACCTCGTCCCATCACAGAGGGAAGCAGGAGACACAGGGCACATGCCCAGCCCTAGAAGGCACTCCACTCCCCAGACTTATCTTGCTGGCTCCCCTACAGCGGGATTCACAACCATATACTTTTACAAGCACGGAGGGACACATGAGAGTGGCACCTGGAGTGACTGGCAGGCAGATACTGAGCTAGTGGGGAGTTAATATCAACTGGACACGAGTCAGCAGCAGGGCTCCTTGCAGGAGGTCTCCATCCAGGCTGATCAGCCAGGACTCCTGCTCTGTCAAAGCAATGTACCGTTTGCAGGGGAGTCGCAACTCACCCTTCCCCAGATCCTTACAGCAACTCAAGCTGCCTTCTTATCCCCAAGTGCTGGAGAAGGCCAGTGGTTCCACCGACACCCAACAGCCCCACTCACTCCCTGCCCCTATCCCCAAGAAGAGCTGCTGGACCAGCACAAGCATGTAAATGATGCCCAGAAAAGCACCTGTGTCAAAAATGGGGAACAGATTTACCACATTCCCGTTCCCCAAATCCCTCACCCCACTCTACCATGCCTGGTAAATCCTCTCCTATGCAGACATTCTAGCCCCCTCTTTTGCTAGCTGTGGCGTAGTGGGGGGCTGTCTGCTCTGTAACCTGGGGTCCCCCTGCGCTGTGATGTGAGATTCCCACTGACTCACCCACATGTGTCTTAACCTGGACACCTAGGCTCAGCCTGAGGAGATAACAGGGGATTCTCAGGGGAGAGACAGAGGCGGGTTTCAGGGGAAGGGGCAATTACTGGCTGGGAAACATGGAAGCAGCAGCCTTAGCTGAGGGTCTAGTGATGACCATGGACCCCCTAATCCAAGGGGACTGAGGCATCCTGACTCCTGAAACCATATCACATCTAAGCTGTGCTGTACGCTGGAGGAGCAATCAACCCTCCCTCTTCTATTGGCTGGCGGAGTCTCATCTTGCTGCAGACAGGGTGCAGGATCGGGGCTGCCACACTGGCTCTAACCCACACGCGATGGGACCTCCATGCAGCAGCCCCCAATTCTACGGCCTCCTCGAGTGCAACCCTGAGCTCAGCTAAACAGCTTCCAAATGAGTCCCTGCCCTTGCGCCCGAACAAAGCCCTTCTCCTGCACCGCCCTGCAGGAACTCGGCCCCGGGCTCCCCGAGGCAAGCTGCCGTGAGAGGCCCACAGCCACCCGACAGGACACTCACGTGGGGAGGGCCTTGAGCAGATTCTCACGCAGCTCCAGAGTCACCAGATTGGCCAAACTGCAAGAGAAATGGGAGAGGAAGCCAGAGTCACTGGGGGCGGGGGCAGGACCCTTTGTGGACAAGCAGAAGCTCATACACCGGCCTAAGGGGAGCCCTTCGCACACCCGGCGAACATCGGTAGTGGGTTAAAATTCCAGTCCCTCAAATTCTCAGAGCCAATGGAGACTATCAGGGCCCCATGAAGGCTGCTGCTACCACTCCGGGGACAGGAGAGGGAGCAGCTGCATCCAAGAGGTCAAACCCCATGTGCAAGGGGATGCCCTGCCCCTCGGAGGCACCGGGATCTGCCGAAGCGCCCAGCAGGCTAGGCATCTCCCTGAACTGACTGCAGCTCCTTGCAGGGAGCGAGGTGCACTAGAGAGGGGAGACTCAGGAGGCCGGGTTCAATTCCCGCCTCCAGCACAGACTCCCTGTGGGCAAGTCCTTTCTCCTGTTGTGCCGCAGGTGCCTGACTGCTGCTGGGCTGGGGAGGAGTAACTGCGTCACACAAGGAGTCCAGAGAAACAGCCCCCTCCTCACTCCAGAGTGCCCGCCCCTCGCCGCACAAGTGCACTCACTTCCCGATATCACTGGGGAGGCTCTGCAGGGACACATCATTCAGGGCCAGGTGGCCCAGGCTCCGCAGCTGGGTGAAGCCCTCAGGAAGCCTGCAGAGGAAACAGCCTCGTTGGACTAGAGGAGACCTCCGAGGTCATTTAGCCCAGTCCCCAGCACTCACGGTACCAACTCGAGCCTTCGACTGGTTGCTCCTGCAGACTCTCCCAGTCCATGGCAATCTCCAGCAGGAAGCAGCACTCCACAGCCAGCAGCGTGTGTTCGGCTGTCTCCCCCCATTGCTCCCTCTTGCCACTGCTCCTGCTGGCTATGCAGAGCCGGCAAGGAGCCCTGACAGCAGGACCCCCCTGCACCGCAGCCCCATAGGGCAGGGAGAGAGAGGCCAGCCTGACTGGGTGTAAGGGACTGTCTGCACTTCCTGAAGGCAGTACCCTCTCCTGCGCAGCCAGCTCCCACAGGCGGTCTCATGTGCACCCTGCCCCTGGCCCCACTCCCATCTCTGCACAGCCAGGGACAGGAGGACTGGGAGCTGCTGTGCTCTGAGTGGTGAATGCCAGAGGCAGGGCAGGGTTTCTGAGACTGCCCCAGCAGCCAGCTCACTCTTGCACACAGAGCCTGGGGAACACTCTCCTTTCACACACACCTTTCTCTGGAGCATTACTCTGCCAAAGGGGCTTTTAGCATGGTGACTGATCGGCGCATTTCATGTTTTATTTCTCGTACGCTTTAAAGTAATGTCTAAAATGCCTGCCCTGTCCTGGCCAGTGATTATCCACAGGGAAACTTTTCATAAATATAGAATATATCTGGGGGGCGGTTTCTACGGGTGGCACCCTTTGGCCAGGAATGGGGAACTGCGGCCAATAAGCTGATTGGGGTGTCAACAGAGGCAGGAGTTTACAGAACTAGGTGCCCACCCTCCCTGGACACATAGGCCCCTTCCGAGAGCAGTGTGGGGTCTGGGCACGCAGGAAGCCTGCCTTAGCTCTGCTTTGCCAATTGGGAGCTGCTCGTAGTAAGCGCTGGCCAGCAGGCAGCAGCACCCCAGCCTCCAGCCCCCTCCCCATTCTGTCCCAGCCCAGAGCCAGCATGCTACAACCCCTCCCACTGCTTCCAGTGTCTGTGTACCTCCTCTGCCCCCCAACTCTCTGCCTAGCACAGAGCTCCCTCCTGCACCCAAACTGCCTCCCAGAGCTTGCAGCCCTCCCCCTCCTGCACCCAGACCCCTCAGCTCCATCCCAGAGCCCCATGCTCTTCTGAATCCCAACCCCTTGCCCTACCCTGATCAAAGTGAGTAAGGGCAGCAGAGAGTGAACGATGGAGAGAGGGGGATGGGGTGAGCAGGACAGGGTTTTGCGGAAGAGGCGCAGCCTCAGGGACCCCAGGTTACTTTTCCATCCAAAAAGTGATCTTGGGTAAAAAGACTAGAGACCACCCCTGAGAGGAAGTGTCAAAGCAGCACCATGACTGTTCTCTTGTCCCCGCCCCCTACCCCCTAGAAAGCTAACCGCTGCCCCCGCAAACCTGGACATAGGGAGAGGAACTCACTCTGGCTCTGCCCAGTCCAAAGAAGTGACAATACCTACCACCAGATGCATTGTGGGGGAGTCAGACACTGGAAGCAGTTCTGGTGCTGTCTGGCAAACTGTGCTCATGTCCCAGCACCACAAGGAGGCAGCAGAGCGCCAATTCTGATTTCAAGGGGCACAGTCTGCAGAGGCCTTGCACCCACAAAGTGGGCACCTTACACTCTGCAGCAGAGGGGAGAGGAGTCCCAAAAGGACACAGGAGTAAGGGCTACGAAGGGGAAAGTCTCTCTCCATAAGCTTCTGAATCAGGGTTGGCAGGGCAGAATGCTAGGGGCATGTGGGTGGAACCCTGGGGTTGGATTACCTTACCGGGCCAGGGCTGAGCTGCTGCAACTCTGGAGGGACTGGACTCGGCTCACGGCCTCCCCTCCTATGAGTGCCGCAGCAGGAGGGAGGCCGCCACCAGCCCTTCCTGCAGCAGACACGGGCCCCGCAGGGCCTGCCCCAGGATCAGGGCCAGGGAAAGGAAGCTGGCCAGATGGGCACTGGACCCCAATTGGGGGCTTGTTGGCCAGGCTTCATTTTAAATAAAGTAAAATATTCTGTCCAGCATTGTCTTTATTTATGGCAGGGTAGGGAACCTCTTTTGGGTCAGGGGCCACTGACCCACAGAAAAATCAGTCAGAGGCCACTTGAGTGAGAAGCAGAAAGACCCTCCAAAACCCAACTGAGACACCTCACGCCCCTGGTGCTCCAGTCCTATGGTGGGGGGGGAAGGACTGAGGTTCACGGCCTCAGGCCAGATTAACTCTTCTGGGGTCCCAGGGCTAGTGGATTTTGTGGGCCTCCCTCGGTGAGGCCAAAAATGAGGGTTTAAGTGTGCAGTGAATGGCCTAGGGATGGGGGTGCGATTCTGGAAGGAAATGGGTGTCCGTGCATGCCTAAGACTGGGAGGGCAGCTACCAGAGACAGTTTGGTTTCTTTTTTTCCAAGCTCTCTTGTAGTCAAGGGCTTGAGGAGACCCCTCTAGAAGAAGACCAAGTGCTTTCTTCCTTGGTTCAAGAAGAGAGAGATCTTGTTTGACTTGGTGGCGGCGGCTTCCTCCCAGAGCCAGGGAATCTGTGGTCTTGGGGAGCTTTTAAGCAGAAGACTATGGAGTTAAGATATTTATTAAGGTCTCTTGCACTCAGGCTGTGTCTACATTGGCACCCTTTTCTGGAAAAGGGATGCTAATGAGACACTTCGGAATTGCAAATGCCGCGGGGGATTTAAATATCCCCTGCGGCATTTGCATGAACATGGCTGCCGCTTTTTTCCGGCTCAGGGTTTTGCCGGAGAAAAGCGCCAGTCTAGACGGGATCTTGCGGAAAATAAACCCTTTTCTGGAAGATCCCCTATTCCTACTTGAAAGGAATTTTATGGGATCTTCCGGAAAAGGGCTTATTTTCCACAAGATCCCATCTAGACAGATCCCCTATTCCTACTTGAAAGGAATTTTATTTTCCGCAAGATCCCGTCTAGACTGGCGCTTTTCTCCGGCAAAACCCTGAGCCGGAAAAAAGCGGCAGCCATGTTCATGCAAATGCCGCACGGGATATTTAAATCCCCCACCGCATTTGCAATTCCGAAGTGTCTCATTAGCATCCCTTTTCCGGAAAAGGGTGCCAAGGTAGACACAGCCTCAGAGTGCCAGAGTGGGGAACAGCCCTGCCAGTTGCTGCCCCCGTTCTGGACAGACCCTGAGACTACGAGCTCAGCTCCAGGCACTGCATTAGCAGAGATACTGACCAAAGGAAGGGAGCTCAGAGCAGCCCCACAGAAAGGTTCTGGGTTACCAGAGGGAAGTACCTAGAGGTCTGACTTTTCGCAAGACCTGCAGTGCCACAGCCATTCCAGGCAAAGCTCTCCAACCAGTTCCTAGAGACCAGTGACCACAACCCAAACACCAGCAGTACCACTGAGCAGCTGCAGTCTCAATGGAGAGGAAAGGACTGCAGGGCTTTTGAAGAATCTCCCCAGTGCTATTGGAGCCAGGGTGCCAGGAGAGCAAATGACTCTGGGGACTCTCAGGCTTTGCCTCGATTTTATTTCTAGGGAAGGTCAAACAAGCTGCTGGGCTAGGTAGTGCGTTTCTCCCTTCCTCACCCCATGCACTGCGTTGAGCCAAGAGGGGACTGCTCGCCCCTCCCTACCTGGAAAGCGGATTCCCACTGAAGTCAGCAATCTCCAGGGATTTGCAGAATTTGATGCTTTCAGGGATTTCCGGAATGTCTGAAGCAAAGGGAAAAAAGGCCCCGGTAAGGGTCAGTCACATGGAGATAAACAGCAAAGGCCCATCGCCTGAATTTGCAGATCTGAAGGCCACAAGGGTTGTGACCACCTAGTCTGACCTCCACCATAGCTCGAGCCACAGAACTGCCTTCCCCCGAATAGTCTCTAGAATAGATCTCTGCACAAACATCCAGTCTTAGTGATGGAGCCTCCACCAGGACCTTGGCCAATTGTTCAGGCGGTAAGTACCAACACCATTAACCCTGTGTGCCATACTCTCCATTTGAATTGGTGGGGACAAGGCTACCCCAGAAAGAGGGCCACCCAGTGGAAGTAGGGATGAAAGAGTAGTCGATTAACAGAGAAGCAAAAGCTTATAGGTTAATGCTACAGACTACACGCATTTACTCTCCCTGCTAGTAAATGTTTTAGCAGGCTAGCGACCAGCCCGGCTCAGTCCTGGCTTGCAACGGGTCCAGGACCTACCTTTGTTGTGGCTCTGCATATAATGTGTATTAGTTGGTGGGTGGGCAGGCAGCCTGGCTCATGCTGGGTCCAGGACCTACCCCCATTTCAGCTCTTCATTTCAAGTGTAATAAGAGCCAGACAGGCAGGCAGCCCAGTTCAGTTCCGGGGCTAGCGACCAGCCCGGCTCAGTCCTGGCTTGCAACGGGTCCAGGACCTACCTTTGTTGTGGCTCTGCATATAATGTGTATTAGTTGGTGGGTGGGCAGGCAGCCTGGCTCATGCTGGGTCCAGGACCTACCCCCATTTCAGCTCTTCATTTCAAGTGTAATAAGAGCCAGACAGGCAGGCAGCCCAGTTCAGTTCCGGCTCATGC